GGTGCTTAACACATTATTGGTAGCTATTCTTAGTGCACTTTAAAGTCAATCTTATATGTGTAGATAGATTTCTTTACAAAATCTATATCTAATCAGAGTAGGAGAGTAGGACCTTGGGAGATTGAGAAACCTGTCCACAGTTTATAAAATTGAGACAATTAAGCCTCCTTGAGGTCTAGGTTTAGGGTCTAGCATTCCATAATCTCAGTACTAAATCTGGTTTTATTACTGATTATAGTCAAGGAGGCAAAATATTTAAAATAAGGTCTTCATTTTAAATAAGATCCAGGTTGCTCTTTTATATTCTCTTTCATGTGCCACATGATTAACCTGTCCAAGATTTTCTATCTTCACCAGCCAAGACCTAGAAGTCCAGGGCCCAAGTTTGCCAAACGTGGGCCTAGTGGGTAAAGCCAGTTACAAAATAGTAATAAATCTCTTTAATTATCTTAAAGCTCTAAAAAATAATTCAAAATGTGAAATTTTAAGAGGAATAAGAAGAAACACAAAAGCCAAATAAGAATAGAAAATAAAATAAGGTATGATTTTAAAAGGAAAAAGCAGTTTGAGTTGAATTTTTAATGAAAGATAAAATTAGAGTAGAAAAACAGTAAAAAGGCAAGGAAAATGTAAGGCAAAAATTCAAAAAGAAATAAAACAGTGCAAGTTAGAACAAAGTGGTAAAATAGGGCAGTGCTATGAAGTTACAAAGGTTTTAAAAATGAGATAAAAATGTGTCCTCCAAAAAAATAATGACGAAATTCATCCAGAAGCAGGTGAGCAGCATGATCTTTAAGCAGGTCCTCTAAGCTGAGGCAGTTTCCCAGTTCGGGGTCCTTGCAGAGGCCGCTGAGGGTGGGCTTGGTTCCCAGTTAATGAAGACAGCCTTTTGAGAGATGCTGAACCACTCACTAGGCCCTTCACCTCTGTCATTTCCATGGTTCCTCGCAGTAGCTCCTGGTCATAGGTTCTCCTCAGACTTCGGAGGAGCAGACTAAGGTTTGGATAGTAAGTGCCCTGTTCCACTAGCAGATGGTGGAGCTGGGGCCTGAAGCCCAGCCTGATGACAAAACCCTGGCATATTCTTTACCTTGTTCTGCCTTCTAGGAAAATCATCATCATCAACAACAACACAGACAACAGCAAAAGCCCATGCCCCTTACCCTTCCCCCCCACCTTGTCAAGATTATCAAATTGGGAGAGACTGCCCTTCTTAGCCAACAGCCCGGCTAGAGTCGGCGTGCGTGGGCACTCCGGTGTCTTAATCCACTGGAGTGTTACCTTTTTAAAAATATATATATTTTCTCCCTTTTTTGACGCAAGGTTGATTCCAGTCATTCAAATATTAACCTCCCTTCAGTTTCCTAACTATCCCCTGAATGTGGACACTTCTCCATCTTCACTGCTACTACCAAATTCAGGCCACCAGCTCTTCATTCCCTGTCTTAGTTTCCTGTGGCTGAAAACAGCAGAAACGTATTCTCTGCCAGTTCTGGAGGCCAGAAGTCCAAAATCAGTGTCACTGGGCTGAAATGAAGGTGTGCCAACAGGGCCACACTCCCTCCCCAGGCTCTTGGGGAGGGTATGGCTGCTGGCATTTCTTGATCTGTGGCCATATCACTCCAATCTCGGTGTCTGTGGTCCCATCGTCTCCTCCTCTGTGTGTCCAATCTCCACCTTTTTCTTATAAATGCATGTGTTTGCATTTAGGGCCTGCCTGTATAATACGGGGTAAATTCCCCATCTCAAGATTCTCAGCTTGGTTACGTTTGCAGAGATCCCTGTTTACCATGTAAGGTGGCATTCACAGGTTCAGAGATTAGGACATGGCTGTTTTTCTGGTGGGAGAGGGGTGTTCAGTCTACCATACTCCTAGGCTTTTGCAGTGGTCTCTGCCTCCTGTCCTCTACCCTGCACACAGCTTTAGACACACAGTCAAACCATGTCACTGTCTGCTTTAAAACTCCTCAGTGGTTCCCATGGCCCTCAGCATATCCTGATTCTCTGATATGGTGGTGATAACCTTTCCACCTTCTCACCAGCCTCTCCCTTCCACCTTATGTTCCACCCCACTCAACTCCCTCTAGTTCCATGTGAGCCAGGTTCACGCTCTCCTCTGGGCCATTGTGTGTTCCTCTGCCTGCAACACTGTCCGTTTTGTTTGGCTCACTCTAGTTCACCCTTCAGTTCTTGGATAGACTTTGGACTTCCTCCAGGAAGACTTGCTCTTCCCTCATTGGGTTAGGTGTACCTCCATAGGGACAGTCTCCCTATCATGTGTCCACCTTGTTCACAGGATGTGTCCCCTGCACCTGGCAGAGTGCTTGACACAAAGCAGTTGCTTAATAAATGTGTGTTGTTGAGAATACCATAGGCGGGGGCCTCTACATCCACCCTACAAGCATAATACTACAACCAAGAGCACCAGTCCATGCAGAAGAGTTGTTGCTGGAGAGGATTATATCTGTCAATGCCAAAAGTTCCCACAAATCGTTATTTTTAAGCAGAAATCAAGAATTATATAATTATGAGATCAGAGAAAATATTTTCATGCTTATTATTCTGTTTTCTTTCAGGCCATTCCTGTGTTTCTCACATTGCATAATGCAGCTGAAGTTATCATCTGTGGGCACCAGAAGTGTTTTTGGAAAGAGGTAAATGATAACACAAAATGCTAGTTTCACCTCCCTGGCTTTGCATTTCAAAGACACACCTTTTTTTTTTATGGCTCAAATTAGTGTCTACCCTCTCCTGACATCTGTTTCCAGTCAAGACTGCCTGACAGTGGTTATTAATTTCAAGCACCATGGTTTTGACATCTTTTTAGTTCACCAAGTGTACGTGAGAGTGCTTGTTGACCCGAGTGGAACTCCACTCCAGGCCAGGCCTGAGCAGGGCCTCGGGATACCAGGGGGCATTGACTGTGGGCCTGGTGGTTCCCAGCCGCAGCTCGTCCCAGTGCCACGCGGACATCAATGTCAGAGCTCTACATAGGGTACTGGGGGCATTGGCCCACCCTGGAGACAGGCATTCCTTTTTCTTCCCAGCTCAGCTCAGCCTCAGACCACCTAGAATAAGTTTTTTCACCTCTGGGCCTCCAGCTATGAAAAGGGATAGTGACTTCACCCAACTCATAGAGTTGTTGGGAGGGTGCAGGGCGGAACACGTGTTAAGTGCTTCCCACAGTTTCTGGCCTGTAGTAGGTGCTCTGTACCTGTTAGCTGTATTGATTAACATTATTAGTGGTGGTTTTAACTTGGTCCCTCTTTGGGGAGTTCCTTTTTTTCTAACATCTTCCCATTTGAAATGATTTCATATTAAAATTTGGGAACTCTTAAACTAGAGAGGCTGGTAAGCCATTCGGGCAGCACACTTCTTACAAATATATGGGAGAGAGAGGTCCCTCCTATGGCTGAGGCCACTCTGCACACCTCTGCACCCTCTGTCATCCCTGCCTGCTACTCGGAGGCAGCTCCGTGGGTTACCTACCCTCCTCTTTCGTGGACAGTTAACCTCTCCCTTTCTGCTGGCTTTATTTCCCTTAGCCCATAAATATGCTCAGTGTTCTCAGTCCAGCATGGGTGGAGCTCGCTCTGGGAGACCCACTCACATCAACTGTGTTTATAAAACCAAACCTCAACAGGAGAGCCAGCACGCTTTGCCCACGCACCCCCCACCCCATCTCGTCCTTGCACTTCCCCGCCCCTGCGCCTAACAGAGGGTCGGCCTCCGTGCTGTCCACACCCTCGTGTCCCTCTCCCCTCGGCCAGCTCCTGCTTCTGCCCCACCATTACCTGGAAATCGCTCTGGCTGAAGTTACTGACGGCTTCAGGTACGTGGCTCCGGTGGTCTTTTGCACCGTTCACCGCCCTGCACCCTTTTCTTGACTCTTAGCTCACTTGATCTGCATTCCCCCCTCCCTGCTGGCCTCTTCCTGAGTCTCCTGCTCTTTCTTCAGAGCCACCCGACCTTCTTTTTCCTTTGTCTGCGCTTCAGGGTCTCCCAGGGCTCTGTCTTGGGAGTCTTTTTGTTCCCACGCTATGCACTTTCTGGACAATCTCATCCACATCCGTGGCACCAGCTACCTTCAGTACACCGGTGACTCCCAAGTCTCCATCTCCAGACCTGTGTCTTCAGCTCAGACCCCGTGACCTGCTGGCCTCCTGTTCTCCGTCTGGCTGTTTCCTGGGCATCTGAAATGCAGAGGGATCACAATGGAACTGACGTGTTTCTCCAGACTCGATTCTCACTTGGCAGTCCCAGTCCCGATCCTCATCTCCCAAGTCTGAAACAGCAAAGGAGGGCTAGTGGCCTGAAAGGGCAGCCAGGGTGTCACTGCAGAACTGACAGGTGGGCTGTGGCAGAACAGTGTCACAAACGGTCAGGTTGTTGGGCTAGGTTGGCTCTTCCCAAGCCCTTCGACCTTGGGCAAGTGACCTAATTTCTCAGTGCCTCAGTGACCTCACATGTAGCATATAACCCAAGACTAATTAACTCGGATGCAGTCAGTCAAGACTTGTAGAGCGCTTAGAACAGCAGTGGTCCTGAGTGAGTAGCCCTTGGAGTAAGTTAGCCAACTCGGAGCAATGTCAAATATTCAGTGTGACTTTTGAGGCTTATACTGACCCAGTCAGAGCCCTGAGTTAGTACCAGGACTTACCACTGGGTGATTTGGGGACTGAGGGGCCTGAAAAGGGGAATGCCCTGACATGAACCCCCAGGTTCATGGAACCCTGGAGGTATGGAGCTCAGTAATTACTTTATTGCTCATTTTTTACTCTCCATACCTCAGGTTCTGGGCTCCTTTAGTCTGAGGAGTTTAAAATAAAAAAGGATTCTCTCTGCCCTGGCCAGCGTGGCTCAGTGGTTGGATCCCTGTCCCCAGTTGGTACACATGTGGGAAGCAACCAATCCATGTATCTCTCTCACATCGATGTTTCTCTCTCTCCCCCTCCCTCCCTCCCTTCCACTCTTTCCAAAAATCTATGGGAAAAAATATCATCGGGTGAGGATTAACCCCCCACCCCCCAAAAAATATTCTCTCCTCTGTGGAATGGGTGAACTCTTTCAGGCACTGGACTGGTTTGCTACCCTGTAACGGAAGCCCCCAAACAATTACTAGATGAACATGTTACTCATGGAAGACTTGGGGCCATCCCTTTTGTCTCTATCCCTCTGTTCCTACACTTCCACCAGTCTGTTGAGATGTTGGTTATATTTAGCTCAGAACCTTTTAGTGACACATTTTCCGCATAATGGGGATGGTTATCCAGGTATTAAGAGCCAGGTCATCCTTTCCCTAATGAAGGGATAGGTGTCCCCGCCAGGGGGCAGTGGAGTCAAGGTTGGCATGTCCTCTGTACTGAAGGATCTAAAAATGCAAGCCACTGCTCCGTACACAACAGAATCTGTTTATTAAAACAGTGCGTGATAGATTATTTAAAAATGTATGAAGACTTGAGATCCCCTTCCTAGCAAACCATGTGTTACTCTCATCAGTACTTCCCTTTTAAACAACATGCTCATACTTCACATTTCATCTAAACTGGAGTAAAAAAATTATAATTTGTCCTCAACTAGCAAAATAACCCTTCTAAAAGGTTCAGAATTAACCTGTTATTCTTCTTGACCATTTTCCCAGTCAAATATAGAGCAATCTATGCTTCCCCCTGCTAGAACTTTCTTCCCAAGTGCAATGACTAATTCCCTTAAACAGAACTCACAAAAAAGGAGGTGCTCAAGTTAGAGTCTGCATTAGAATTTCTTTATTTCAGGCAGCTTTAAGGGCTAAGTTGAGATTTTCTCAATTTGCTCTTTTTTTTCTTTGTAAGGGTGGAGTCAAATGTCCCTTCTTCTTTTTTCCTGTTTCTTAATTTACACATCATACCAGAGAATTTATAGCACCGCTGAGAGTCAGAGCTGGATTAATGAAAGGAAAATTTAAAGAGACAGACAGGAATAGGAGTTGAGCACGAGCTTAATTTCCTTTTTTGCATAGGTGACATCGGTTTCTCTCTCTCTCCCTTTCGCGGTGCGTGAGACACTGGAAGGCTTGGCCCCAGCGTCATGTTGTTTTTTCAACAAGTAAACATAATTTGAAGGGGGACAGTGGTAAACCTGCACATGCAGGGTGCTTTGCCAAGGTGACTCAACCCTGGGGCTCTGAGTCAGTCTTCATCTGGTCCAAGCAGGAAAAGCCTCAACAACACTCAAGGGCAACGAGCTGTTAAGCCCCCAATAAACTTGATCTAAATGTTTTCTCTTAAGAAAAAAAAAGTTTTTAAAGAGTAATCATAAATCTCTTTATTTTCACACAGAAAACGTCTTCTACAAAGATCTGTAGGTAAGTTTAAAACAAAATAAAACCCACAAACCCCTAAAATACAAGATTTAACCTGATTTTTAACTTCGATGATGAACTGTTTGTTGAAGATTTGTACTTGCGAGTTGACAGAGGAATTTACTATAAATTCTCATCTACCCCAATTTTGTGTCTTATTCTAAAATTTACTGTCTCTCTCTTTTTCTGAAATATTTTATTCCTAAGGCAAAAACAACCCGTGCTAGATTTCAGTTGCTGATGCCCAAAACTTTACAAAAAGTTGCGGAACACCGGAGAACAAAAATGGGAAACAGGGAAAGGACTTAAAATTTTAAAAATCATGTTTGCAATTTATTGGGTTTTTATAATCTCCATGGTGGAAAAAGCACTGGCTTGTGAGTCCAGGGATCTGGGTTGAGATCCTGGGCCACCGCAAAGTGGCGGTGGGCAGATGTCATCACCCTCTGCGCTCAGTTTCCTCAGGCAGGTCCCTGTGTCCAGGGGTGCTGATTCCAACCTGGACGCCCTGTTCTCCAGCTGCTTCCCGCCTCCTCTGCAGGAGCTATGAAGCTCAGTCCTGTAGATAGAAACCCAACAGAGATGCTTTTGTTTCAAAGATTTCTGGGCTTTCATCCAATCTCTTTTTTTGACTTTATTACAGGCTGCTACTTGGGGGGAAAAAAAAAAAAGAAACATCAGGACTTACCCTCTTGTTTAAAAGATTAGCAGGTGGTAAAGAGAAGCATTAAAGCCCACTAATACCTGATACAATTAGGTATTGCTCAAGGCCAAGTTTTGTGGGAAACCAGGGGCTGTCTCACACCTGGCTGTCCTCTCCTCCCCTCAACCCCAAGGGGTTGTCTGTTTGAGAGGATCTCTAATGCTCACTGGCTGTGGATGGGGAAGTGTCCTACATTCTAGAAAGCCTTCCACTGAAGGTAGACACCACACTCATTAGGAGTCTCCTCTTCTCCCACCAAAAACCTTCCTATTCCTGTGCAGTCCCAGAAAACTTTCCTGACAACTTCCCTCCACTCGTCCCACCCTTTGCCTCTGAGCCCCTTGGCATTCTGGTGCCTTGGAGTCTTCCATTTGTGTGTGTGTGCCTTGAAAGTTGGCGAGGCTGAAGAAAAAAATAAGTTGGTGGGCTGGAGAGGAGAACCTTCCTGTGCCTCAGGATGTCCCATGTTGCCCGAGCTTCCCAAGGTTGTGAAGCCCCAGCTCTGAGGTGTCCTTCCTACCAGTCCTCCTGCCCCAGGCCCAGCCAGCCACGCCCGTCTGTTGGTTACACAGCTACACGTGATGACAGCAGTGAGGACTGTTGGGTGTGGGGCTGTGGACAGAATTGATTAGCATCACTATTGGCAGTGGACGTGGGTTATAAATACTGGGTTGTTGTGTATTACATATATGTATGTACATATAAATTATAGAATTCTATATGTATAGGGAATATATATTGGTATGAGATGTCATCGGACAAAGTCCCCTAAAAGTAAAAATGTTGTATTTTTTGCTTCCATTCATGCCTTTGATCCTTTGCAGTTTGCTGGCTAATGGAATGATCAGTAGTGAAGGGGCCCGACGTTACGTATTTTGTTGCATTGTGAAATGGAAAGAGGGGGAGATAGTATGTGATCATTTGGGCTTTGTGTTTTCTGGTGCCTTCTTTTATGAGGAGAGAATGGGGAAAGCTAGAGGGCAAGATCTTTTGCTACCTGAGACCTAGAAGAGATTTACTAAAAACCAGCGATTACTCCAAGACACAGCTCTAAATTGACTTTCCAGTGAATGAAGGTAGCTTTCTGAAAATATCTGTGATTGGCAATGTTACTTGTTCGTGCAAGAATTTTTAAAGTTTTCATTATGGAAATTTCTAAACTTATATAAAAGTAGAAAGAATAGTATAATGATGCCCTGTATATCCATCACCAGCTTCAATCGTTTTCAACTTATGCATTCACCCAGTGCCTCCTCACTTCAGCAAATCGCAGGCACCACGGCATTTCATCTGTAAATATTTTAGTACGGATGAGAGATTTTCCTAATAAAACCTTTTATTTGGGAAAAAAGTATAAACCTACAGGAAAAGTTGTAAGATTATTACAAAGAACTCGCATGTACCTTTCACTTAGATTCACCCATCGATGATATCTTTTCCGTTTGCTTTCTCTGTCTTCGTAGATAGATATACATATATATCATATAAAGTAAATAAGAATATGTATATAGAATTATTCTTACTTTAATTTCTTTTCTGAACCATTTGAGAATAAGTTGCAGAGACCATGACCTTACCCCTGAATACTTTAAAGTGTATCTCCTAAAAATAACAATCTCTTGTATAAACAATGCTGTTATTAAATTTAGAAAATAAGTATCTTGTATAATATTATTATCTACCATTGAGCCCATGTTCAAATTTAGCCAGTTATCCCAATGTTGTCTTTTATAGTGACCTCTTCCCCCAAAGATGTTGTGTCTCGTGTGTATTCTTTGGTCTGGACCAGTTCCTCTGCCCCTCATCGTCTTCACTGCCTTCGCATTTTTGAGGAGCGTAAGCCCACTGTTCTGTGGACTGTCCCTCCATTTGAGTCTCAGTGTTTGCTCATGATTCAGCTCAGGTTTTGCATATTTGGCAGGAATGCCGAGTGAGCGATGCCGTGCTCTTCTCAGTACATCATATCAGGAGGCACACGACGTAAATCTGTCCTACTATTGGAGACATTAAGTTTGATCATTTGGTTAAGGTGATACACAAAAGATTTTTAAGGTGCTTGCCATGGTGTTTTCTTTGTGGCATAATTGTAGTCTCACTGCCCAGTTTTCCATTAGTGTATTTTTTGGGATCTATAGTTAAAAGAAAAAAAAAAAAAGACCTCCTGTTATTATGTGTTTCACAGGGATACTGTTTTTCTCCAGCGAGCCAGCTTTTGTTTTGCAAATGTCCTGCAAATGCCTGTCTCTGGGGGAATGCCTGGTTATCAGTGGAGCATAGGATAGAAAACGGCGAAAGTAGTGGGGTTCTCAGAGGGAAAACAGGGGACCTGGGCTCTGCCTCAGCCAAGCCCCAGTCCATGTATTTCAGCCTCAGCGCTCTCTGGGAAATTCTTTGAAGCTGAAAAGTGAGGCTGCCTGTTTTATATCTCTGTCCACAGTGCCCTCTTCCTCCTGGCCGCTGCAGGATGCCTTCCCTTCAATGACTCCCAGGTAAGTCCAGGTAAACGCATCTTGCCTTCCAAGTATCTTTTACTGTCTGAAGCCTGCATGCATGAGCAGATTTTCCTAGTCCTTCCTGTTAGAGTCAGAAGAACCCTGGCCTGTGCAAAGGCATTTAATGCTCTCAGGCTGGGTACCTGTTGGCCAAGGCAATGCAGAGGGATTTTTACTTTGTCAGGCACTGAGGACCCACCCTCACCCCCACTAGTCATTTCATTGCTGGGTGTTTTTTCTTTCTTTTCTCCCCCAGCATTTACTAAGTCTTCATGAAGTGTCAGGCACTGGCCCAGGCTCGGGGGATACAAAGAAGAATTGTCCTTGTCCAGACCGAAGTCAGAGTCTAGTCAGAGCAAAGGGGAGGAGAACAGACGATTAACGAATAATTATAACCCAGGGAGGCCAGGGCTCTGTCCTGGGAGGCATGGGATGCTGTGAGGCACCTAAGAAGACTTGGGGACTCAGGAAATGGGAAAGCTAACAATAATAGGGAGCCTGCCGGGTGCCGGGCTCTGTGCCTTATTTAAAACCTCACAACAATTCCATAAGGGATTATTATTATCTCCATAACTAAAGAATAATGCAGCCCAAAAGGTCACCAGCTAATGACTAAGTGGGATTTTAGAATTTAACCCAGATCTTTCTGGGCTCTGCTTTCTGGACCTTATCTTGAAGGGTGAGGAAGAATTAGCCAGGAGAAGAAAGCAGGTGTGGGCAGAGTACTGGAGGTGTCCTAAGTATGGTGGAATTCAGCTTTATTGAGCACCTACTATGTATGTGTGTGCTTCTATGCTAATTTCTGGCTTCCTGGAAGTTACAGTCATGTGAGGGGTGGAGACAAAGACAGGTAATAAGTAAAATAGTGTTGAGTGAGATAAACTCCTGTGCAGACAAGGAAGGGAAGATGAAGAGGGGCTGAGCTGGTAGGGGAAGCCTTCGTGCTTGGGGAAGTACAAGTTCTCTTTCTCTGGAGAGGGGGGCAGTAGGGAGCACTGGAGGTTGACAAGGGCTTGTCACAGAGACTTTGGGGTGTCATGAGTGTGGGTTTTATCCCGAAGTCACCGGAGGACTGCTGAATGATTTTAAGCAATAGATGGCATCATCAGATTTGCCTTTTAGAGACTCAAGGGCAGCGTGGGGAGTAGGGAAGGGGTGCTGGAAGCAGGGAGCATGTTAGGAAGATGTCATAGGCAACTGGATGAGACATGAGGAGGGACTGACTCAAGGCCCAAAAATCCTGTCTTGGCACCTTTACCTGGCACTGTGTATTGACATTTAGGGTTTCTGATTGCCACTCTGGTTTCTGTTTGTCGGTACCTATAGCTATTTTTCTTTAAATCTTGTGTTGCAGTTTGATCCAGATGGATATTTCTGGGCTGTAATTCACTTATTCTGCGTAGGTAAGTTTTAAAACAATGCTCACTTAAATAATTAAGGCTTAATATTTAGATCTTAGTGTATATCTACTTTTTAGTGACTTGGGACAATAGGGAAATTAAATACAGAATGTCAAGGTTGAAATTAAATGGACATTCTCTGGTTTGATTTTCCTGTTCAGAGGTTTCCTCAGTTGTTCCATTTCCAATATAGTCTCCTCTTTTTCATGACAAACATGAATTAACTCACCACGACTCCAGTTCTGCTTGCTTGAGTCCACCTGTGGGATGCTGGTTGGTTGTCTCTGAAAACTGTGGGAAGAGATCCAGAAGTTTGTGCCAGAGACACTCTCATCAATATACCAAAAAAAAAAGTAACTGGGTGAAATAAAAGGACCATGCAAAGGCAACTGCCAGCTTCTTGTCCAGCACATCCTCCTGCTCATCACAGCCTCCCCCAGCACTCTCTGTACTGAAGGGCAATATCACCGGGATTATCCTATTCAAATCCTTAAAACCCTCCACAGTGTCGTTGGCCTCCCCCTGTGGGCTGTGGGGGACCTTCTCCGTGTGGATTTTGTGCCTCCCTGGAAGAGCAGGCAGCCCCTTCGGCAGGATGCCCTGTGCCGGTAACACGTGTGGCTTCATTTTCAGGGGCTTATAGGATACTCCGGAAGTCCCAGAAACCCAATGCATTAAGGTAAACTTTTAAAGTTTGGTGTGTTGTTGTTTGGTTAAGGAAAGGGGTAGGACCCACGGTGCCAGGGGCTGCTTCTGTTCAGCCAGAGACTCCTCAAGTCTGGGTGGCAGTGGGGGCAGCAGGCTCGGCCCCCGAAGCCCTTTCTCTTGATTTTGATCCATTGCAGGCCGGGTACCCCAGGACCTGAAACATGCCACCATCAGTGAGGAGCATCAGATGACATTTTAACAAAAATTATAGGACCAGCTGCTTCAGACCCCAGTTTACTTCTTCCAACTCAGGGGCACAACTCTTTTTTTTTCTTCTTTCCTCAGCCCCTTCCTAACTTGACTTGGTTTAGACCCAGAAGTCTCCCCAGCCTGTAGCTCTGTGCTGGGGTAAAATGAGGCCTTTGTTGTGGGCAGTCAATGGACCGGCTTTGGCGAATGTTGATGAAAAAGAGAATTCAGGCCTCAGTTGGGCTGGAGCTGTGAGGTCAGAGCCCCGACTCGGGCCATCTGGCTTCTGGGTTCCAGGGCCCTTCTGAAGGCCCAGAGGGAAAAGTCTGGAGGGAATGGCTCCTGGAGCAGATTATACACTCTGAGGACGTGTGACTTTGGGTCCCTCGAGCACTTTTTGTTCTTTTAATAAAGTGATTTTGCAGCAAAAAGCCAGTTGAGTTGCCGAATAAAATATAGGATACCTAGTTAAATTTGAATTTCAAATAAACAGTGAGTAATTTTTTTAGTGTAAATATGTACCCTGTCATATTTGGAGCATGCTTATACTAAAACATTGTTCTTTACTTGAAGTTCTGATTTATTGGGGCATCCTGTATTTTTATTTGTCAAATATAGTAGCCTTGGAAGCTAGTCCACTGGTCTGAGATTGCTGACATTCCTTTAAAGTGGCAAATGAACACATAAATAATCAGCCAGAAGTGAAAATGCATGTGACTGTACTAAACTAACAAATGTTTTTTAAAAATGAGCCAGGAACTAGTTTTGAGTATGAAGTGTGTTTATTGATAATTTATAAATGTAGTAACTTATATGTATATTTAATTTATTAACACAAGATAATGACTACTCTGTATATGTAAAACACTTATTTTATGATTTATCTTTTTTTTTTTCTTATTCCTTAGTGATATTGACCAGCAGTACTTAAACTATATATTCAGGTAAAATATAATTTATATTTTCAAAGAGTAACATATATTTCTAGAGCTAATGGATTTTTATTTTCCAATAATATTTTGACCTGGGAGTTCTGAGCCAATGTGCCTGCCAGGGAGGCAAGCTAAATAATTTGTGGTAACCAGAAGTTGAGGAAACCAAATAGCAGTCCTGCCCCAAGGCCAGACAAGAGATGCCTCTGTCTGCCCCCACATTTCATAAGGCTGTCTCTCCCCAGGGTGTATGGAGTCTGTAAGACTAAGGGGACATTTTCCCCCAGAGCCCATAACCTCCCTTCTAGCCTGGGCCCTGGAGTTCCCTGCTCGAGTGGTCTGCAGCTTGATTCTGTCTTCTCAGCTCATTCCTAGACCCAACGGTGTCCAAGGAAAGGCTGTTAGTGGAAGCGATACCATTGTAATTAACTAGTTGTGAGTACTGGAAAGTAACAAGGGGAAGGCCAAATTTTATAAGCATGCCATTTGTACAGCTTTGCCAGGAAGCTGCAGCTTAAGACTCTCCAGGTCTGTTCCCTGCAGATCCTGGGGGAATGGACTGGACAAAAGAACAGAGGGCAGCCTATTTGTAGTTTAGAGTCTGATCTGTTTAGCTTACAAATCCTCTTTTTCGATGGGATGAGTGTGATAATAATTAGTGGAGTGGCTGACCCTCAGAGTGGGGCATGCATGGATGCTTATTCTGCCCAAACCTGAAGCATTTCAGAAGATTCTCACTCACTGAGGAGCTGGATTTAGGCAGAGTGAGACCAATCAGTGCAGATCATTTGCTTGTAGGCCAATTCCACTAATTCCTAGGAGAGCGGTTGGAAGTGCCTGCTGTTTTCTCAGTGCTGGGGAAGCTCTGGTGACGGCCCTGCTGTTTCTTTTTCAGTGTGGCGCTCCTCGCCTTTGCATCTCATCCCACAGGTAGGCACCATCTCACTTGTTTGTTTGTTTTACACTGCCCGTTTGACACAGAGTGCCCTGACCCTGGGCACATCTCTGAGGGACACTTTGCAGGAGAATGTGATTGCCTTGCACAATGTCAAACTCGGGCATTAGAGATGGCCCACATACTTGAAACTGTTCTTCATAACTCATTACGGAGTTATTGCCCATGTATTTAGTTTTATCCCGTCTTGAATTTTGTCGTGAATGTTTTCATCGGATGCAATCTCAGATGCGCGGGCAGGCGTCATCTCTGCCGAGTAAACTAGTGCTTGCATTGCCTCTTCTGGTTTCTTCGTTGAGTGTCCAGAATTGCTCTTCAGTTCTAGTGCTGAAGGACTAGGTGAGAAGTTCAAATTCACCTTAGCTCCAACTGACATCCTTGGACCACTTTTTATCATATGTTATCATCCCATCTTTATAATTTAGATTAAAGAAGTCAAGTTTTAAAACTTACCTTTATCCTGTTGCTGCATTAATTACTCTATAGGTGTTTTTCAGATTCAGGAGTTGTTCACAATAACTGTAGTCCACTGTGGTGTTTTACTTTGAAAGGTTTTGAAGCTGATGCCAAAGAGAAAGCAATAATATCTGTGTGTTGTATGGCTAAAAATACATGCTTCATTGACCACACTCCTTAAACTGTTTATTGACCATTTGCTATGCATAAGGTGGTTCCAGCCCTCAGGGTCTCAGTTCTTTTATCTGTAAAATGAAAAAGGTGGACTGGATTATTTCTGAAGCCCCTTCTAGCTCTCATATTGTGACCAGGACAATGACAGCTTTATGCTCGTGTTTTATCTGCTTCACACTGTTTGAACTGGTATCCTTAGGGAACTGTTGGTAGTGACTCAGGAAATGTTTCTAGATTGTATATGACGAAATCAAACCCGTGTCTCATCAGGATAATTTGAATTACTTTTGCCTCAATGCATCACTCTGCACTTGCCCACACTGAAGCACACCTGCCGTTTTCCGCCCACTCCCACAGCCGCAAGTTATCTCACAACTATGACGCTGGCTGTTGAGTGCCCTCTCCACAATCATTTGTTGAAAGCCTATCATTTGTAAAATAAGAAATCATACGAAACCATGGTGTTATCCCTAAACACGATGGTGTTATCTGCTTACCCATACTGCTGCTTGTCTGCTATTAAATCATGCCTCATATCATTCCTTTGTGCAGCCAGGAGGTTGCCACTCAACAGATACTAAAGAGCCTACTAAGCATCCTTCCCGCTTGAAATGTGTTTTAGTCAAAGGCCTTTGGAAAGTTATGTTCGCTGGTTCTTCTTGGTTGACATGTTCATTTACTCCCTGAGTGATTTCTAGTGGGTTTGGTGAATAATTTTCACCTAAAGAAATCACTCTGCCTTTCAACTAAGGGGTTATGTTTGTTCATTGGTTACACTCATGATTGTCAGAGCTGGAAGGAATCTTGGTGATTATCCACGGTGCCACCACGTTTTACACATGAGAAAATTGAAGCCCAGAGGAGATGAGTGAGGGGACTAAGATAATGCAGAGGAGCTAAGTACAGAGGGAGGCCGGAGCTTAGGTTGGTCCCCTGACCCTCTGTCCAGGTTTTTCTTTTTAAATGCTTCCTTTTTAGTGATCGTACATTTTATTATAAAGTCTCCCGAGTGGGTGAATACTTCTGTCTGATGTTCCTACATTTCTTTCTGGAGCTTCTCTTGGTTTGGGGGCATTTTGTCTACCAGTTGCCAGGCACAGTGACTGCTGGGAGTCATACATTTTAGGCAACATTCCCACATTTTACCTGTTATAGCTAAACTTTTAGGTCAATGCTGGAATACCTTGGGCACTTAGTTACCTTCCAAAACGCAAAGTGGTCAGCAGCCTAAAGTTATAGACTGGCCTGGGCTGAAGAGTAATTTAAAATAGGCTTTGGTTTCTTTGGGAGGCAATGAGGTGGCGGTGATGGTTGCACAACTCTGTGAGTATGTACTAAAAACCACTGGATTGTACACTTTACGAGGGTGACTTTTATAGTATATGAAATATATTTCAACAAAAAGCACAGAGGATCAAAAAGGAAATCTCTGTTATTTGAGAACTTGTTTGGAGCTCAGGTATGCCTGAAAAATATATTTGCAAGGATCAAGTTTTCTCCAAATTATATTTTAAGTTTAAAAAGAAGAATGGACATTAGACATCCGCTGCTCATGTCCCGTTCCTTCTGCAGGCCTTGATCGCACCCTGTGGTGAGTGATGGAGGGTAGGCCTGTGGTGAGCAGCTCAGGGAGTTGTGAAAGCTGTGGCATTCATCAGAGGGAGGCGTGGTGCGCTTCCCTGGAAGGACTTCTGGCTGTGTCTTTGGCGTGTTGCAGTTTTTAGGTAGCTGAGGTGGTATCTTTGAAGAGGCCAGATATAGAAAGTTGGCTTCTGAGGAGGATTTTGCTGGGCTGATGAGACTGGCTGTGACTCTGGTGTCAATAGCAGAGGTGACTTCTAAAGAAAATGCCAGTTTTCTAAAGTGCTGTATCACGTTACACTCCCACCCAGAAACGTGTGAGAGTTTCAGCTGCTCCACATCTTCACCAGCATTTGTTGTTGTCACTCTTACTTTAGCTCTTCTAGTGGGTGGATGCTGGTCACTCAATAGCGCTTTTGACTGAGCTGTCCTTCTCGCTTGCTCATGAGTGACTAGGAAGGTAAGCTTTCTTGCAGGTGCAGGTGCCGTGGCTTAGGTTACAACCTGTGGGTGCACTGGGATGTGATGGTAGGGGCCAGGTAGATAGTCCTCCACATTCGTGAAGGGGGAAACCCTTCAGGCACTGGGTTGCCTTCTTGGTGGGTGGAATCTACCTCCCCTTCTAATCTTTTAACCTCATGGTTCATGCAGAGGCTCCAAGGCTCTGAGAACCTTGCTTCCCCTCAAACTAGTTTAAGCAGTAATAAAGAAGAGAAATTATTCCTGTGTTTTGAAAGTTTGCATTTCATATTTGTATGGGGCCCCTCTACTTGATGGTCAAGAGAGAGCATCTCAAGGCACCTGAAGAGCAGGGGGACCCATAGGAATCTGACCCAGAAATGACCTTGTTACCTGGCATGCCTATTGCTCGTGTGTGAGATAAGGCAAGCGGCACTAATCACTTCTTGGAACCAACCTTCCATTGTCCTGCCAGTTCTCAGGGCTAAATGTGGTGAGAGGAAATTTTCGTGATGTCCAAATATCAATTATGCTTGAATGCGGTAAAACTGTGCCACACTTTCACTGTGGTAATTCATGCTCTCTGATCTTCAGAGGATGGGCTTCACTCCCTCGCTCAGAGAGCCAGCAGGATTTTAACTGCGGAGCACAGGAATGAAGGCTCAACCCAGGCTTTATTGCATCAGCTGCATGTTGATGCCACAAAATGTGTTTACAACTCTTGAGCCACTTAATTTGTGCTTAAGTTGTGCATTCTGCACTAGATGGTGCAGGAATGTTGTTTTTTTGAGCATCTTTACACATGTTTTTAGGCTCCTGGATCTAGTCCTCACGTGGTTGGGGTCAGCCAGCCACACACTGTAACAGCTTCGAGGCTATTTGTGTCTCAGTCATTACCCTTGGCTGTGTAGAGGCTGGTATGCACCCTTCCTGTGTAGAGCGCTGCTTTAGTAAAAGAGGAAGCAGGCTGAAGGCACCAGAGGGCAGGCGTTTGGGTCAATTTGAAACTGAGGACCAGCATATTCAGCTGGAAAGTGTTTAGAACATTTTCTCCAAAGGAAGCAAGAGGGGTTTGGGTCTGCTGTCTGACACTCTCAGTTCACTAGTGATTATTGTGTGTCAGGGAGGGGCCTCACCCAGCAGATGCAGTTGAGTGAGAGGGTCCCTGTTCCAGGACTCAGAGTTTTAGAAGGAGGGCAGGCATGAGGTCAGCTCAGTGCAGTTGAGAAATGCGTGGAGGTTTCAGAAAGGATCAGCGTTCAGTATTTGGGTGAGGGTTTTAATCTAACTGGATAATTCCCTAGGATGGTGACTTGTTTTGCATTCCCCTCCCCCCAAGTCTACCTCTGACCCCTCCACAGTCTGGGCTGGACTGGAGAGGTCGCCAACACGCCGAGGGTCTAGCTCGCCTCTTGATGAGAGGCTGGGTGCCGAGAGGCAGTACCCAAGCAATGTCCAGGTCCTGCGTTTAATTTATCTCCCTCCCTGCCCGTGCCTCATTATCACACTGAGTGCGCTGCGGTTTCTGCCACGCTGAGAGGGAAATTGGGAAAGGGCCAAGAAGCGACAGCTGCCGAAGAGACAGAGGGAATCCTCCACGGATGTCCCTTCCACCTGTGCAGGGGGCTCTGGCTGCCCTCTAGGACCAGGGTGCCCAGAGTTACCTGGCTGTCACTTCGGTGGGGAAAGGGACTTCAGCTGGTTGTCTTCATGCACTAAATGTCTGAGCCTGGTGATGTTATTTACAAAGTCCCTCCACCAACATAGGTCCCAAGTAGGTGATAAAGGTAGTCAGTGGGACCGTGACAGAAGAACAAGAACTCTTAACCTCCTGTTGGGGTGCACAAAATCCAGGTCCCATGAGACCCTCTCCTTTTAGTTAAACACACACACATGCATAAATGGAACAAAACAATAGTCATGATAAAGAACCAACCCTCCAGGGAAATGGGATTCAGAACTTTCCTTCCAATACTAGAGGGTCGAATCATCTGAAATCATTTAGGTCTGAGGAAGCGTAGCCGGCCATTGGGTCTTTTGTCCTGAAGCTCTTTGTCTGTACATCCCATACACCTCACATACTGGAATTCTCAGAAAACTCAGCCCTTCCTGCTCCAGTCCATCCGGGCCTGAGAGATGGACCAAGCTGGGAGCCTGGCAGGCCTGGCTCCCTCCACACCTCAGAAATTCCAGATTTGGAAGGATTAAGCTGTCTGCTGTGGAAATGCTTAATTCCTTTTCTCTGGACATTTTTGGAAGGCTTTCTGCTTTTTTAATCTCCTGACTTCTTGTTTGTGACCAAGTTCAAATTCCAGAGAGGGAAGCAGCCAATATGTGTGATTATTTCCTCTTGTACCAAGTGGAACTAGAAGAATGAACTTACTTCACTAGAAATAAATGTACCCTTTGGACCTTCAACTAAAATGAGCATGCACAGTCGATCTGGCCCCTGCACCGTTTGTGCAGTAATTAAACACAAAAATGAAAGAAGATGTCAGAGGCATGCTTTCATAGTCTGTTTTTAGATATAAGGCAGAAGAGAATAGAAGAATCTTTTGGGGGGGAAAAAAAGATTTCTTTTTGCCCTACACTCTGCCTTGGGCAGGGATGGCCACCTAGAGAAGAGGGTGATTCTAGGGTTGCAAGTGATAGGGGTTCACCTTGTGGCTCCACAGTTTGAGTTGTGCAGTCTTAGGCAAACCTCTTAACTTCTCTGAGCTCCAGTCAAAATGCGGGAAATAAACTTCTCTGTTCTTATAAGGATTGAAAGAGATAATGTATAAAAAGCTTTTAGCATGGGGCCCTGCCTAGGGCAGACTCTCACTCAATGGGCATTATTATCATCTCACTGTTATTACTCTGATAAGAAAATGCCACTATTATAGAAACCCTAGGAAAGCCAGCGTGAGTTCAGTGCCGGGCAGCTCAGTGCTCGGGGGTGCTGTGCTAAAGACCCTTGCCTTGTGTTTCTGGGACAGCTGGGGGCCGAGGGCATGTGGGCCATGGTTTCACCCTTGCTGTGCCCCCCAGGTGATCTCCTCAGCGTCCTGGACTTTCCGTTCCTGTATTTCTACAGATTCCATGGCAGCTGCTGCGCCAGGTAATCTTAACTCACAAAACCCTTGCACTGTTAATTTGTGTGTCTGTTCTACCAGCTATGTCTTCATTTCAGTGAGGTCCAGGGTCACTGCCGGTTATCCAGTGCGAGGCAGAGGGTGTGGGTGCAGGCGTGCGTGGAAGCAGCTCCCTGGGCCATCAGTGGGGAGTTATGAGCACCCTCAGGTGCTCAGGGCTGGCCTGGTGCCTTTGACCACCCCTCGCCTGCAGAAGTTTTTAGGCCACAGCAGTGCTTTTCAAACTTGCTGAAGAGCTAGGATTTCCTGACTTTTTTTTTTTTCCCCCCTCCATAAGCAATTCTTTTAACTTCAGTATATAACACTAATGAAACTGATAGAGTTCAAAGAAAGATTTGGGTCCATAATCCGACCCTCTCGACTTCTACCTTGGCCTCCCTCTTGCTCCTGAAGGGCACCCTCCTAAAAACCCTCAACTGAACCCCAAGACTATGTGAAACAGATTTTGGAAACCATTGAGTAGGGCATGCCTGGACAAGGCGATCTTTAATATTGGCCTTGGAAAGTACTTGGGGATGTAGACTGATTAAATGGGTAGGATTAGGTACATGGAAGCTTAGAGCTATCCTGTTTCCCTTTTCCTGCTGTATTCCCCCCCCTTTGCTTGACTTTATTACGCTCAGAGGTGGGAAGATTGTTGTGGACAGTCTCAAAGCAAGTATTTGGATATGGTAGAAAAACTGGATGGGCTGAATTCCTGCCTTGCTGCTTCCTAATTGTGTAGCCTATGGTCAAGTTACCCTCATTCTCTCAGCCTTCGTTTAGTTTTCTCATCTGGAAAATGGAAAAATAGTAGCAATGCAGGGCGACTGTTGTATTGAATAAGGTGTTTAAAGCCCTACACGTTGAGCCTGTCCCAGTAAATGATGGCCATCATTATTATCTGCTCGGGTCAACTGTAGATAAAATGCCAACAAACCATGAGCAATTGCTACATAAAAGTCCACACATATAAGATTGCACCTTGTCAAGCAGTGATTCTTTGCAGAGTCAAAAAGCCGATATGTAGCTAGGTACTGTTTCCAATGGGGGTGTGCTAGGACCAAAAAAATCAATATTATATAGAGTTTGCTTCTGCATTTGAGCCTCAGGCTGATTTATTTATCATCTTCAGAGAAATTTCAGGAGGACCCTGACAGAATTCATCTTCCCAGTTCCTATCAATTCGGTCAGGCCTTGCTGCTTATCTAGGATGTGTGATGTGAGTGTCAGCGCTGTTCCGGTGCCCGTGGACTTGCCGGCCTGTGGTTATTTGGCAGGCTGGGCTGACGGGTTGTGGAGGAGATATGATTACTTGGCATAGGGCAGCACAGTTCACAGCCCCTTGGTGCTGGCTTTGTGGGATGACATGCTGGCTCCATTTCTGCCTCCTCTTATCTGCAACTTTCTCATAACCCAGTGTGAAAAATCAGGAATTTTTATTCAAAAGATTTGGAACTATTTCTTTGAATTGATTTAATTCTCTCTTACATTTTACCCCCTGACTTCAGTACCAAGCTTAACCTCTTTTAAGAATGTGTTGCTTTTCCCCATCTCATCTCATGGCTCCTCCAGGTTCTGGGGGGGCTCGAAAGGATCCTGGAGGTCTGAGGGGACAGTAGTAGTAGCCAGGACCTGGATACCCCATTAACAGGGAGCCCAGACTCTTTCACTTCTGGGGTCCTTCCACTGATTTCAAGATCTGCCTCCATAGCAAGAGGCAGAAGAGCTGAAAATGGAAGGAGAAAGATGAGGGATCCATGGGTAATTTAGAAATGATTCACAGACATGCAAGTCAAGTGATGGGAGCAAGTCATGGATGCTTTCCTAAGCATGTCAGTCAAAAACCAGGAGTGGCTCAGTGCCAGCAAACATTCTGTGCTGAGGGGAGAGGTCAACAGGGAATCATGACCTTCCTCTGGCTTGAGGTG